AAAAGTCAAGCAGATTAAATTTGAAAAAAAAAACAAGCAAATAACTCGATAAAACAATTCGATTACAATGAAAAAACAGCAAAAAGTTACAAACTTAAGACTGACTATCAAACAGTGAAATCAGCCCAACCAAAAATTCTTCGAAGCATTAATCCATACTTTGCAGTTTTCTCACAGTAACTGAAAATGAAAACTTGGAAATCAGAAGATCCGAATTGTGGGAAAGACGAGAAAATTCATATTTGAGTCCCAATGCTATTCACAATTAATTGAATATAATAAAACAAGGATAGTCGGTTAGTAGGCAAGTAGCACAGAATGTTCCGACAATAGTCTTTAGAAAACTACGGTTTAGAAAGTTTTTTTTTGCAAATTAGTGTAGTTTTTGGTGTGATAAAAGGCTCTGACGTAAAAATAAAATTTAGGCATATTTGACAGTCATAGTAATATAGGCAAACTGGACACAAATGTTTGCAGAAAAATGACTACAAAAACTTCAAAAAAAAATTCTATATTTTTTGCAGTAAATTTTTGAATTTCTTAGTTACCAAAATACAGCTAAACACCTCCAAAAACTAGTTTTACTTGCTTAAAATTAAACTTAAAATCTTTATTAGGCATAATTTAGATGTTGTAGGCATAACTCAGCTGTTCGCTTGCTTTATTCGCTCGAATTAGGACGAAAAATCAAACTTTTCAAACTGGTTTTTCTGCGTGGAAAATAAACAGAACAAAAAAACTAAAACACACCCGAATACAAAGTACCTCCCCATTTTCAATGGTTGGAACAAAAACATCGAAAGAGTAGAGAACAGCAACATCGATAGATGTCTCGTTCCTGATAGAAATCTAGGGCAGCGGTTCCCATTTGCGCTCTAAAAATCAATTCCGCCTAGTAAACTACTGGACTTCAAGACTGAAGAAAATTCCCAGTGAAGAGACCCGACGCTTCAAAAAACTTTTTAAAACTTACAAATATCTTAAGATAAAGATATAATGATTCTAGATTGATTAAATTGCTGGCATTAATTCCCGGGTTGTTGTTGTCTTTAGCTCCTGAATTTATTTACCTGAGACTATTTTACCTGATTATATTAAGATATGGTGAGTTTTGGGTTGATCCATCTGAAATGGATCAAACAATATCTAATGAATTGTAACAATGATAGGTTCCCAGCCCTGTTTTCAACGGCGTTCGCGTGTTTTAAGTATCTTGAGAATTGCCTCGAGAATGCTCACGAATTTTTCAAATTTACGATAGGTGACCTTACATTTCTCGGAAAAGTTGGAATTAGCCATTTTGGGAAAAAAAATTACCCAAAATTGCCATCGAAAACAGACGGAAAACATTGAAGAAAACGAGAAGTATCTGAAACGAGACTCGTATAGGTCAATCCAGCTCATATGGACTCACTACGTAATTGTCACTAAAAAAATAAAATAACGCTTTCAGTCCTGTTGTTAACTATAACCACGTTGTCTGGGGATACCGATACCCAGCTATGTTACACCCTGTATCTAAACAAAAGCTTACACCCTGTATGTAAACAAAAGCTGAGTGAGCTCCGTAACGGCTGTCAGTAACGGGTCAGTAAGGACCGTAACAGCTTACGAACGCGATAATCGGCCCATGAAAAGACCAATTTCAAGCTTCGGAGGGTCGCAAACTGGGGTACCCTCTGGATCGGGAGAAAAACACTTAGTCCTCAAGTAACATTGATCATCACAATTAACCTTGGTTCCCCTTGACTAAAAAATCCTCCGATAACGAAATAAGTACGTTAACTGCAGTCCAAAGGGCTACCTGTCCACCAAAATGGTACCCTCTGATGTCTAACTTGAGCCCATTATCACAAAAACCGAGGGTTGAGTACCCTCCGGTTAGAAAATTAATTAAAGCCCCCAAATACCAGACTGGAGGATGAAGTACCCTCTGGCTAAAATTTAATTCCCCTTAAGCTTCTGAGTTCCAAAACTGAATGTTGAGTAATTTATTCGGTTGGTCTTCTACTCATTGTTTTAGACATTAGCGAAGCTGAGATTCACAAAACTTGAGATGTAAAACAACAAAGCCGCTAAGTCGGAACAAAATCAAAAACGTTCAAAAAAACAAGACGTATAAAAGAATAAGGCTAGTTTTGTATACTACAACGTGGAATAAGAATAAGACTACAACGTGGAATTAGCAACGGAAAAAGCTAACCAAGCGGTAACAAAGCAGAAAACACCTTCTTAGAAACCCTTTAACCCAAAACAAAATCAAGACTTAAGACTTATAAAAAGTTAATAAGTCGCCCTCACCCTGAAAGCACATACAAAAAACTTTAAAGAATATGAGGCCACAAAGCCAATATAGTACCAAGACCGAAATCTATTGAGTCGAAAACAAAATTGAAAATAAAGCCGAAAAAAATTCAAAATAATTAAGACTAAAAAATGTTTTTAAATTAAGTCGCCCTGACCCTCAAAACACGCACATAAAAAGTTTTTTCGCTCGTCGAAAGACGCAATATGAGGCCACTAAGCCGATTTAATGTAAGTCGAAACCTATCAAGCCGAAAGAAGGGAAAAAAACAAAACATTGTTGTCATAAAAATCTATAATTTTTATCAAGATTTTGAGCATTTTGTGCGATCTAGAGAGGATCAGAAAAATTACGTTTCAATTGAAACGTCTAGAAAATAGAATATTAGGCCGATAAAACATAAGCTGTAATCGTTTGGGCAGAATAAACACTTAAATTCTTCTAGTTTCACACAGCTGAACGGTTGAGCTTTAACTTAATACACACAGACGAAGCTTTACTTTACAAACATAACCAAATAAAGGAAAATTACAAAAATAGGTGAATAAATCTTGAAAAGCAACTGTAACATTGCCCATAACGGGACTCGGGCCACGGAATTCTAACAAAAAGTTAAACTTCCTAACAACTACATCACCAACTAATGATATAGAATAAACAGTTGTTTCCAGAAAAAACTGATAAAATACAGTTAAAAATCCAACGCTCACATGCTATGCAGTTGAAGAAAAGGTGAAAATGTAATTGTACTCGAGCGTTTGCCTGTGTAAGCAAAGCTAATTATATAATCTGGCCTTTGCTCGTATACCGAACAAATTTTTAGCAAAATGCAGGAACCCTCCTTCGCAATTTTCCGTGACCTTTTTTTCCAATTTTGCGGTGATTGGATTTGAAAAAATTTTGCAACTCAATTTTGTGATCAAGCGGAAAAGATTCTCCGACCAATTTTTTTAACTTTGTTAAATTGATAGTTTTGATCTTCTGATCATCAACAAAGCAGCAAAGCGTATTTTTGCAACACTTGCATACAACACAACATAGCATTATAAGCTAGCGAGTTAGACGAAAATGGAAACAAAGCTACTGAGTAAAAAAAAAGTTAAAAATTCGAAAAAAAAATCCACAAAAATCTCACACATTTGTCTAAACTGACTTTCAATTTGAGAAAACACGTCAAGAAACACTATCAATGACGTCAAATAAGCATTCTAAATCATTCACCTGGTAACTTCGCCTAGAAATGCCACTCAAACAAAATGCTGTCACAAAAAAAATTGGAAGTCCCATTTATACTGAAACACATAAATATAAAACAACATATTTTCCCTTCAAACGACGCAAAATGGGTCCATAAGTCGAGCACATAAAACTTTGACCAAACAGGCAAATAATTCGGTTAAAAAATTCAATTTACAAAAAGCTAACAGATAAACAGTTGGCTGACTATCACACACAGGCTGACTATCAAAAAGGAAAACAAGCCAAACCACTATATTCCTTGACGCAATAATCCCTACTAAGGAAAAATAACCACCATAAAAAACGGTAATCCGTCAATTCATGCTTTGTTAAAAACAATACAGCCGAATTGTGGGAAAGACGAGACTATTCAATTTTGAGTCCAAATGCGATTCGCCATTGACCTATATTAAATTAAAAGCATCGATAGAGTAGAGCTGTCTTGATCCTGATAGAAATCTAGAGGAGCAGTTCCAGATTGCACCGCGTGAGCTACTGGTCATCCAGACCGAAGCAGTTTCCCAATTACAAGACCCGACGGTTCAAAAACTTCTTCAAACATACAAATTTCATTGACCTACTTAGATATAATGATTATAGATTGATTACCTAGCTGGAATTAGCTCGAGCTGTTGTTATGATACACTATTTTGATTGCAAAATGAAAAGGCAACACACAAGAGATGGTAAAATTACACAGACAGATGGACTATCAAAAAATAGAAATCCGAAGCAATTTGAGTGTGACACAGTAAACAAGTCGATACACCATTAGCAAAATCCATTTCTTTAAATATACCAAGAAAGGTAACAAAAACAGAATTGGTAAACAACCAAATCACAGAACGACCATCGGGTAAATTTAAGGTGCTCAAATCAGAACAAAAAAGCTTTGACATATCAATCCATGCTTTGGGAAGGATACCGCTATAAGAAACAGACAAACGATAATCCCAGAAACCATGTTTTGACGGAACATATTTCAATTTCCTCACATATCGAACAAAAACAAAGTCCGACTGAGTCTTAGTACAAACACCTTATATGATTTATTAAAAAAAAAACAATATATATTTAGCAAGGTTTTCCGCCTCAGTTTGAGTTTAAAGTTTACTAGTCAAGTTTCTTCAATTATTTCTTGTGCAGCCGCAGAAACTTTTCCAGTATGCGCACTATCTCTAAGCATTTTTTAATATTAAATTGTTTACGAGACAACGTCTACTTCCCGATTACATATAACGTAAACTTGCTCTCGCAAAAGAAAAGAACCCGTAACGAGTTTAACTTTAATCACTCCAACTCTAATCTTTTCCTTTTATCATTATCTCTTATATATCTATAAAAATCCTTAGGATTTGACTGGAATATTTAATGAATGGACCTCCGTTACTATGATACTTTTGACCTTGAGATTATTTTAAAAAGTAAGAAAAGGAAAAGAAAAACGTATACGTACTTTTTCCACAATCGACAAATCGCCCGACAATCGTATTTCTCTGGCTATTTGACCAGCTTTCTTGGCTAAATGGACGGAGCTTGCCAGAATACGTGCAAATATGCAGCTGGTCATTCTGTCCAAAAATATCTGAATTTAAACCTGGTCTCAAAACAGAGGTCAAATTTTAAAAACATGTTTGGTGAAAAAGTACGCTGTCACGGTTCCGTCGGGGTGGTCAATATATCCTGTTGACCTCTCAATCCTCCCATTGGTTATCCAAGGTTACTTTTACTCTAAAAATTACTGACAACTCCCTACAATGGGCAATCTCTAACTGTCAAAAAATTTGATTAGAACGATCGGATTGTTACAAAACGTGAAAATGTTTATTCAAATGTGTAACATTCGCCCGGAAGTACATATCGACGGAAAATAAAGCTAGGTTATGAAACAACTGGCTAGCTTCTAAACACAGCTTCATATGCTTTTAACCGTCTCTACAAAAGCCAGTTCTATGTGTGGTCCTTAAACATCGGACCGACAAAGTCATTACTGTTTTTGGGCTATCGGCCAGAACGCGCAGATTAAATTAGTTACATGCAAAATAGTGAGCTCATGGCTGGGTATCAGTATCCCCAGACCACGAGGTCACACCTGAAAACAGTTAGTTTAGTTTCTTCCTGAAAACATTTTTAGTTTCTTCCCGAGACCCTTCCGGACTCTGGAATCCGGACGAAGAGCGGTCTTGTTGTGCCAGTCGGTCATATCTGGAAGTTTGACCTTGAGGGACACGAAAATACGTGATTTTGGAGTGAAGTTTTATTTTTCAAAATTTCGAATGGAGCCTGTCATGCTCAGTTTTCTCGCAACAACTGAAAACACAAAGTGACAAATCAGAACGACCGAATTTACAATTGCGGGAAAATACTTAAGAAAACAGCAGGAAATTGCAATTCGCAATTTCCAGATACAAAATAAGACACGAGTAGAGCCGTCTTATCCTGAAATAGGAGGAGAGATAATCACGAGAAAAGAGTGCAATTATTCAAACTGAACCAGAGTGAACCTTCAACGGAAAGATAGACAGCTTGAGTGTCCCAATGGTTCAGACTAAAACTTCAATTCTAGAGTCTAAACTTATTTCTGTTATTTAAAACTGATCAGTATTGAACTTATCAAGTTGTCTTATTTATTTCTCGAGTTGCTCATTAATTTAATTACTCCTTATACTCGAGTGCGTCAACATGTGAGTTCCTAATGTATTTTTCTCGAGTGTGTTTTATGATTGTTATGTTGAGATAAGGCGAGTTTTAGGTTGATCCATCTGAAATGGACCAAAGTGCCACTGTCCAATAAAAAGTAACTTAACGGATTGTTCCGACCCTGTTTTTAACGGCGTTCGTGTATTTTGGGTATCTCGAGACCTAAGTATGGGGACGTTCTTATTTTCTAGAGTGGGGGGATATTTTGGTAGTAGCCTTAAAGCTGTAACGGATTCTAGTCTCAAGTCGCAAGCGAACTGAATTGGCTCCGACTGTGACATTCGACCAGAATGGCCAAAATGCAATCTCTGCAGAATTCGGAATTTTAGCAGTAAGCCTTCCGGATTGGTGGTTTTTAAGAACTAAGGGCTTTATTGGAACGTTTAGCCAAACGGTGAGGGCTGGAATATTCTAGTATTTTAAAATTTCAAAAATTCGAATGATGACGTCACATTTCTGAGAAATGCTGAAACGGCCATTTTAACAAGAAACGAGAGAAGAAACACAACAACATGAGTTTCGCTGACGATAGCAACGACAATCGTGATAAGAAAAACAGCAGCAGAATGCAGACAACGTTCCGAGTTGCAGCTATTGTGCTGCTACAATAGTTGCAAGGCCGTTGCGAACAACGGTGAAGGGTAAGAAATCAGCCTTCCGGATTGGGAAGAAATCGAGATCAACGGGCTTGATTCACCGGATTCAAGAATCCGGAAGGGTCTCGGGACGGAAAACTTTTATTGACTCGTGTGAACTTTTAGCATCCTGTCATGTCCTGACTTGAATTTAATTGATATTTGGATTAGTTTTGACAAGGATGAGGTGCTAGGAGTTGGGGGAAAGGGTTGATCCGTCTTCGATGGAGATGATGATTTTTATCTACTGAACAAAAACAATAGTAATATAATAAGTAGTAGCCCTGTTTTTAGGAGTGACCTCGTGGTCTGGGGATACTGAGACCCAGCCATGAGTTCACTATTTGCATGTAATTAAGTTAATTTGAGCGTTCTGGTCGAAGCCGGAGAATAGTAACGTTTTTGTCGACCCGATGTTAGAAAGACCACCGAAAAGTACTGGCTTGGTAGAGACGGTGAAAAGCATGCAAAGCTCTGTTTAGACGTTGGCCAGTCGTCTTAAGACTTAGTTTTGTTATCCGTCGATATGTATCTTCCGGGCGAATGTTACATACATGTTTTTATGGCGCTCCTGGGTGTTATTCTTTTATAACATCATGACCGGCGGAACCGTTAACGAGCACTCCGCGCCGAGCGGATGCTCACATTAACGCCCTTAATAGGCCTAAACCGCCGGGGCGGAAGGGTAGTTCGGAACGCGGAGGCCTTCCGGATTGCCGTGAATAGTTTTTTAACCTAGTTAAGACCGAAAATTCACGAACCAGGAAGGGTGGGGGGATCGGCCGTCCCCTCGTCCCCTGAGTGGTTTGTGACCAAAAACACTTAAAGATATAAGTAAAACCAAACAAAAAGTAGTATAGTACCCAAGAAAAACAAAAAACATAAAAAATAACCGAAAAAACCAAAAACAGTAAAAAAGTAAAAAATCAGTAGAAATCATCCCCCCAGACAAGATGTGATCCAACCCCCCCGTTTGTTGTTGATAGATATATTGTTGTTACAGGCATTTATATCAGTCAGGATCGTTACGATCAGTTTTGTAGCCCGTTTGTGAGGCTTGTACTGTAGGGTTATTTGAGCAATTAAGCACGTTAATGATAAATTGCGCTCAATCCGGAAGGGTCAGCTGATTTGCGCTCAATTCGGAAGGGTCTTGGGTGAAGACCGATCCGGCAAGCAGTACAAGGAGCAACAAGAAGGGGCTCAACGACAACAACAATCGACTGTTGGGTATCGTTAACAAGTTTTGTAGCCCTTTTTGGTACAAAAAGTAAAATAGTAACCTGTGGGGGGCTCGACAGTGCTGCACTGTAGTGACCCTTCACCGAACTGCGAATATCCGAGTTAAGCACCTTAATTCGGATAATAAACAAACCCGGAGGGGTATATTATTACTAATATTATTACTTATATAGCCTATATTAATAGTCTTATATCGTTTTTCAGTGAAAAACAACGAAAACAGACCGGTTTTTAGGGTCAAAATAGCGATATTTTGATCCCCCCACAAGTCGCGATTTTTGAGATATCGATAATTTTTGAAACGAAAAAAAACGCTAAGTTAGTGTGTTACATCGTAACTGCACTACTGTAATAAGTAGAACCGGTTAACTTTAGTTCGGAAGTGGTTGGAACTAGTTTGGTACCAAGAACCAAATTTTCCCATTTTTTGATAGTAAGAAACACTATAAAATCAGAAAATTTTTTGAAATCTTTGAGTTAGGACAGTAAAAATAGTTGTTCGGACAACTTCCACTAGTGAATCTACGAGTTTTAAAACCCGCTACCCGAAAGCCTTCCGGGTTGCAGAGAAATCGAACATAACGTGTTTGATTTGGTGGATTCATCAATCCGGAGGGGTCCAGGTAGCATAGTTTTTCGCAAAATTTTTCTACAAAAGCGTTTTAGATCGGGTCTTTTGCATTGAACTAGAAGAGTATAGGCCTTCTGAGCTCAGATCAATAATTTTTAGGTCGAAAGAACCAGATTTGCGGAAAAAGTTAGGCGGAACCTATAAGAGAGAAAATTTTTGAGTTTGGAAGAAAGACGTTTTAGTTAATAACTTTGGAACTACTGAGCATATTGAGTTGATCTTGGTACCAATAGATCAGAAATTAGCTGAGCTTACTGATAGGGTCAGAAATTTTTTTGGAAAAGTAAGCGAGAAAATTTTTTGAGATTGTTTTTAGCAAAATTACACAAATCCGGAGGGGTACACCCTTCACGTTTTATAAATTTTTCTGAAAAACCCTTATACCCCTACCAAAAGTTGATAGCGATTGAACTAAGTAACTTAGGACAGTTCTAGACAAAAAAAGGGGGCTGAAGGCACAAGACAACCATAATAGAGTCGAAATTAGGCAAGTGATAAGACCCTTAACCGTTAGTGTGAATTGTCAAATAAGTGCCTTAACTTCAATCCGGAGGGGTCTAGGAAAGTACCCTTCCCAGTTATTTCAAACAGCATAAAAGCAACGCAGAACGTATCCGGAGGGGTATAAGCTGAAATTAAGAAAACTACGAAAAGCTACTTTGACAGAGCTAAGGGCTCCGAATCCGGAGGGGTTTACTTTCCACAAAACCGGAGGGGTCCGAATCCGGAGGGGTCTTATAGTTGCTAATTCAGAGGGGTCCAAATCCGGAGGGGTCTTATAGTAACCAACTCAGAGGGGTCCAAATCCGGAGGGGTCTAGATTCTATCAATCCGGAAGGGTCCTATTTGTGCCAATCCGGAGGGGTATTGTTTTATTAAGGACTTAGGTAGACGAAAGAACGACTAAAAAGTGAGAGGTATTAGGTTATTAGCACACAGGCTAGGTATCAGTGACTGCACTGGTAACTTGCCTTTCAATAAGAACCAGAGTAATACAAAACAGGTCCGAACTCGGATATTCGCGCGACACTAAGTCTAAATTAAAAAGAGCGTGATTCATTGGTGTGGATTGAAACATAATACGTTTTTGGGAAAAGTGACTGCCCTGAGGATTTTAGTAGGTCTAGCTCGGGCAGTCCGAAGGCAGATAGGTAAAACAGTACTCGGTGGGTGCAATAGACGCCCACTTGAGAAAATTACTGCCTTCAAAGTTTTGTCTGTTTGGTGCAGCACCGAGCAGGGAAAACTTTTTCTTTAAAAGACAGGTTCGACTATTGTACTGCGACCGACTAAGAGTACAAGACACATACGTTTTTTTTATATAATACATTCATATTGTGTCAAAATAAATTATTTGTTTTTGATTTTAAATCAACA